TTTAGACTTCACCAAACACTATAGATAGAAATCATTGAAATGTCTGATTCAAAACATTTGGGGAGAGAGGAGACACATTCTGAACAGTGACAGGTCATGATAACATATTTAACTCTTTGGTCCCATTTATAACATCATAATTATTACAACAGATTCCACAGGCAGGTATCAAAGGGGGAAAAGTTAAAATTGTGTGGTTCTGTTGGGTAAGAAGTATCCCCTTAACTCAGCATTTCCTGGTTTTCTACATTTGAGTTTTGTGCACCATTGTAATGCTAATGATAAGAGGACCTGATATCTATGGGGACCTGAACTCTATATTTTCTATAATTTAATCAAGTTGTCTCAGGAATTTACAAGAGTAACTTAAACAATGTTAACTGTCACAATGAAATATTGATCAGAAGTGTTTTTTCTCAGATACCCTGGTACCAAACTATTCAGAGCTTGAATGATGGTCACCAATATCTGGAATTGCACCAAAGGAGACTCTTGGAAACACCTGAGGAACAAGGACTGGACTGCGGGGGGAAGACAGTGCTGGACCCAGGCTAGAGGGATTTCTAGGCTGTAAAAGGAAGACCTGGGGTTTTTAAGCTGCAAGCAGGTGCAGCTTGCCCCTTAAGAGCCTGCCGCCGTCTTAAATCATCATTTAGGGTGAGAATTTGCTACTCATATCCAATCTCTCTAGTATATTAAGCTTAGATTGCATTTTTTTTATTTTCTAGGTAACCTGCTTTGATCTGTTTGCTATCCCTTATAATTACTTAAAATCTATCTTTTGTAGTTAATACATTTATTTTGCTTCATCTAAAACCAGTGTGTGGGAGTCATAACTTGGGGCAGAAAACTGTGTATATTCCTCTCCACATTGAGGGAGGAGGGCAAATTTCAGGAGCTTACACTGTACAGTTCCCTGTTCAGCGCAAGACGGTATAATTTTGGGTTTACCCTCCGGGGGGTGGGGGGAAGCGGGCGCCAGGCAGTTCCTTTGCTGAAGCCTTCCCATGCAGAGCTGATCTCAGCATCTATATGTCGCTGTAGCTGGGTGTGTCCCTACCTGTATTTGTGCTGGAGGGGGCTTGAGGGCCTGTTACAGCAGCTCAGTGTAAAGGGAGCCCAGGCTGGTGGGTCAGGTGGGCTCAGTGGTACCCCAGTTCCAGGTGGCACCCTGGGAGGAACCTGTCACAGAGGGGATTTGAATGCAGGTTTCACCCCACCCAGGATAGTGCCCTAACCACTGGAATTTTAGCTATTCCAGGATGGGTTGGTCTCACTCTTTCCTTTTGCAGCTGTCCTATTTTGTATAAAATACTAGATTATTCAATGGGTGAGGGAGAGCAACCAAGTGAGAAAATTACTTTATAGCCTGATGGTTAGGGCATTGACCTGGGATGTTGGCAGGGACACCTAGGATCTAGTCTCTGTGCCAATGACTAATTATTTACTCAAAGTGCAATAGCTTTAACAGGAGAAATTGAAAAAAAAACACCACCAACTACCCTATATAGCCTTGTAGTTAGAGCCCTCCTCTGAGTGGGGAGACCTGAATACAAGCCCTTGTTTCAGATCTGGGATCTGAACCTGGGTTTCCTACATACCAGGTAACTGCACTAACTACTGGACTATTGTATATAAGGGCAGCCGCAGCAGCTTTTCCTCTGGTGGTTTTGTGAATGACATGTAAATCTCCTTGTGACTCTAGCTTGGAAACTTTTTTTTTTTTTTTTTTTTTTGCCATTTACCAAATTTCCTACTGTGCGGGTCCATCCAAAACTGCATTTTTTGGCAAATAAATTCTTTGTCTGAAAAATTTTGACAGGTTTCAGAGTAACAGCTGTGTTAGTCTGTATTCGCAAAAAGAAAAGGAGTACTTGTGGCACCTTAGAGACTAACCAATTTATTTGAGCATAAGCTTTCACGAAAAATTTTGCTGATCTCTATCAGTCATGTCATCTAATGATGATATTTTCCATTCCAACAGTCACTCAGGAGGATGTTAAACAGCAAATACTAATGTTAGACATTTTAAAATCAGCAGGTCTGGATAACTCGCATCCAAGAGTTTTTAAAAAGCTGGTCAAGGAACCCTGGGCCATTAATGTCAATTTTTAATATGTCTTGAAAAACTGGGGAAGTTCCAAAGAACTGGAAGTAAGCTAATATTATGCCTATATTTTAAAAGAGTAAATGCGATGACCTAGGTAATTATAGGCTTGTCAGCCTGACATGGATCCCAGACAAAATAACTGAATGGCTGATATAGCACTCCATTAATAAGGAATTAAAGAAAGGTACTAATTAATGCCATTCAACGTTTATATGTGGAAAACAGTTCTTGTCAAACCAACTTGGTATCTTTTAAAAAATAAGATTACAAGTTTGATTGATAAAGTTAATTGTGTTGATGTAATATACTTAGAATTCTGTAAGGCATTTGACTTGGTACTGCACGACATTTGGATTAATGAACTAGAAAAATACAAGATTAACATGGCACACATTAAATGGATTAAAAGCTGGCTGACAAAACTCAAAATGCAATTGTAAACAGAGAATCACCACCAAGTGGGAGTGTTGCTAGTAGAATCCCACAGGGATTGGTTCTTGGTCCTATATTATCTAATATTTTTATTAATGACTTGGAAAAAATGAACGTATTGCTTATTAAGTTTGCAGATGACAAAGATTGGAGGAGTGGTAAATAATAAAAAGGACAGGTCACTGATACAGAGCAACCCGGTTCATTGGGTAAACTGGGTGCAAGCAAACATGTGTTTTGATACAGCCAAATGTGAAGGTAAACATATAGGAACAAAAAATGCAGGCCATGCTTTCAGAATGGGGGACTCCTTCATGGGAAGCAGTGACCCTGAAAAGGACTTGGTGGTAACAGTGGATAATCAACTGAACATGAGCTCCCAGTGCCATGCTGTGGCCAAAACAGCTAATGTGAACTTTGAATGTATTAACAGGGAAATCTTAAGTAAGAGTAGGGAGAGTCTATTACCTCTGTATTTGGCACTAGTGTGACTGCTACCAGAACACTGTGCCCAGCTCTGGTGTCCACAATACAAGAAAGAGATGATAAATTGGACAGGGTTCAGAGAAGAGCCACAAGAATGACTGGAAAACCTGCCTTAAAGGGATAGACTCCAGGAGCTCAATCTATTCAATTTAACCAAAAGAAGGCTAAGGGGTGACTTTGTCATAGGTTATCAGTATATCACAAAATTTTGTTCCCTATCTAAAGGCTTGCCAATCTATCAACAAAGGTATAACAAGATCCAGTTACTGGAAGCTGAAATAGGATGCACATTTTTAACAGCAAGGGTCATTAACCATCCAAACAATTTTCTGAGGGGCTGTGGTGGATTCTCCATCACTGGACATTTTAAAATCAAGATTGGATTGTTTCTAAAAGATGTGCTCTAGTTCAAACAGGAATTAATTCAGGAATGTCCTATGTTATACAGGAAATCAGACTAGATCCTGGAAGATCCCAAACCATTTTGGTGTAAAGAGTATGTCACAGTCCAACATAATCGCAATGGGATTTACAAGCATAAATATGGGAAGCTGCATTTTGCCCCTAGTTTGAAGTTCAGACACTAGAATGGTGGGGGTTCTAGAAGTGCCTAGATAGAGATAAACCTCTTTTCCTTGTATGTTTAGACAGTTTTGTCTATCCTGGAAATTCCATGTGTTGAAAAGACAGGAAAAAGAGTTAAAAAACAACAGTGTGGCCTGATTAAGACATGTTGCACTAGTTTAGCATTCATTTTAACTTTTTGTGAGAAAACATGCAGTATTTAGTAATCCACCCAAGAAAAATGTGTTGGGGGGAAAAAGTTTTAAATTATATTTTTTCTTATCCTACTGCAAATTTCTCACAGAATTAATGTGGGATCTTCTTCCCCACAAACATGAGGCAGAGCACAATGCTGCATGGGTCTCAATAAATATTTTCTATCACATATTCCCAAAGAGAGGAAAAGCCTCCTTCATTCAAAGTCAGCCATGAATTTTGGCCTCTAGAAAAGCAAATGTTCTAATAATTGATTTGGGCCTGTCCTCTGAGCCTTCCCACGTATGAGAGTTTATGCCAAGAGCAGTGGTTCTGTGGTGGAAGTAACCGTGGGATTAAGAATGTCAGACTTTACTAGCACTTTAATGAAACATCACCCAGTTACAGTTGTTAGATCTTTTTCCCCTCAACTGAGCTGTGGATTGGGATAATTTTTTTGCTTGGCATCTGAAAAAGCTTTCAGTCAGCGGCCCTTCTACCTGCCTCAGGGTAAGAAAAGCCTCCTACCTCTATCTCCCATGGAGCTTTAAAATTGGGTCAGATTTCTCCTAACGCAGAGAGAAACTCTCTAACTTTCACTAAAATGAAGATTAGGGCCAGAGTTGATCCTGTGGCAGTAGCTAGTCAAGAGGAACCAGGGATGAATGATGCCATCCTGAGGGAAATACTAAATTGAAAACCATTCTGCATCATACTGCTAGCCTTCCCTGAGTCTCTGGTGGAGTTCTCTCTCTGAACTGGTGCACCCAGCACATTGCAGAGCACTGCAGAGCTTGTTCATAATTACACTGGTTCTTGAACATCCCCATAGAACTAGATAATTTTAAACTTATCTTTTCAACTAAATTTAGGACAAAAATGCATCTCTAATTTTTTTCACTTGATACAAAGTAACTTTTTCTTATCATTTGTGTTGTCCTTTACCACACTGAAAATGTGTGAGCAAAACAGATTCCTCTTGCTGAACACAGTCTAATTGAAGATATACAGGGCTTCATTTTCCAGCCACTGATAGATTCAATACTGGTCTCATGCCATTGGTTGCAATGGAGTTAGACCTGCTTTTCTCCATTTGAGATTAGAATCATGCTCATAACATCTAGTTTCTTACATTCTTAAAAAGGTAATATGGATAATCAAAATATGGATATTTTAGCACATAATTTGGGTGGAGAGAGGAATATTTTCTTACCTTGAGCTGTGAAATCATTTTTCTTATAAAGGCAAGGCATAATCTGAAACACATCAGAGCAGTCTCTGACTTCCCCTACACTGGTGAAAACGGGGAGTAACTCCACTGAATTCAATTGAATTACTGTACCACAGATTCTGGCTCTTTGTCTCTTTGCCTTAGGTGTATTCTTGTGTGCTGCTGAGACCCACCGGAGCATGAGGCAGGCACTGTGGTTTGAGCACTGATTTAAATAAATAGCATTTTTTGAAAAGCAATTGGGGGAGACTAATTATCCATGGATGATAGGTTTTAAGTCTTTTAGAGTCAGATACAGAGGCTGGAATTCTATTACTCACGCAACTCCTTAACATTTAAAAGGGAAATTACTTGCACATCCTTTCTGATCATACCATCAGAAAAGCTGGTAACTTTTTACCATTGTGTAGTGTAAACAGGAAATAATTTGTACATGTAATACATCCAATGGGTCTCTGCTCTCTCCCTCCTCCCCAGCCTCCATTAACCTCAAAGTGGCCACTGCAAATTTTATATTATTTTTAAATATCATCCTGAAAACTTACAAAGCTCTCCAAAAACTGCTCTAAACTGCAGATCTTTGCTATTCAAACTACCTTCGATGAGTGCTGAGGATGGAACACTGCAGGGGAACCCCAATGCTGTGAACAATGGTAGCCCCACTACACTTCCAATCTACTCTCAGACACTCTCTTCCTACAGTCCTGTCACCCACTTCTAGACTCAGCTACGTGTAACATGCCGTATTTTGTTCGATTTCCAAGCTTTGTGCACTTTGGGGCACACTGAGACCAAAGAACAGCCTTTCCTCCCCAGCTCCCATTAAGCATCTCGAAACCCAGTGTGGTGGGGAACCCTGCACTCTGCTGGTAACACTGATTCACTGCTTCAAGCTTTGCTTTCCAAGCTCCTTTAGTGAAACATTGCTTTCACCGCTACCTCTCTTCCCCCGCTGAGACAACTGTTGCACTGAAGTCCAGCGGTTAAAAGGTTGTGAAGGAATCTTCTGTGGGAAGCAAGCTTTAAAATCCAAAAGAAAGGCTTTTCTTTTAATTCCCTCTCAGTCTCTTTTTCTTTCTCTAACCCCCTGTTTCTCTCTCCCATCCCCCAATCCCAACTGAGGAGCTCATTAGGAACTGCTCTTAACTGCAGCACATGTGTGCCATCTACAGGCCTCCGATGCCAGAAAGATTTTACTCAGACACGGCTGTCTGAAATCTAAGAAAAACAGGCATGAAATATATTGTATTTCCCATAAACATTCAACCCATATCCTCCTTTAATTTTTAAATACTATGACTCAGAACATTAATCTACTGTCTGCAGGTAAAGTAAAGTTAAGGGCTATGTGATGTGATACATTGAGATTAAATAGACATGATAAAAATGATTACATTTTCAGTGAATTCCTCTACATAGTCACGCTCTAGTTCTTATTTTCTTCATAGCTCTAGGAGATTAGGATATTGTCCTGCATTCTAAATTTCTTACAGTTTTACTTCATATTTTGGTAATAAAGCAGAGGTTCAGAGCATATCCAACAGGGTTTTTTTCATAAATAGCAGATGAGATTATCATAGAATTGACTGGATCCACACTAGTTTTCAGGGGTAAAGAGTTTTTTTTATCTTGATAGGCACACACTGAAATGAGTTTTGCAAAAATATTTCTCTTTAGAGACAAATCTACCCATGTATCCCAAGCACTAAATATATGCTTCAGGGGCAGTATGCTCACCCCAAATTGAAATATATTGGAAAAATCTTTCTACCATTATACTCTTGCTAAACCACTAGAGAGAGGAAATTGGCCAGGTGATTGCTTACGTACAACTTTTTGAAGGTAGGCGTGAACGTAATCATTTCTCCATTTATCTTACATAACCATTAAAAGGTCTAAAAGGTTTCTACTACAGGGACCACATGAGGTGAAGGGAAAGCCTTGACAACAATAATTTCCTTCTAACTCCAAGACAAACTACACTAAGAGTCAAAAGGTGGGAGTACATAGCCATAATTTCAAGGTAAAAAACATTGCAGAGATGTTGTAATTATCCCCAAACCAACCATTCACTGAAATTCCTGGATTTGTGATGTTAAACTTAAAATAAATACAGTCATGTTAAGGTGTGGATATGCTCAGCCAAGGAACCCAAACAACCTTCACTGAAACTTTTAGTGACCCCTGATAATAATCATACAATGATGGTCAGCTATTTTAGTGTTTGCAGGTTCAGATTAAACAGATTTTTAAGGGCAGATTTTTTTTTCCAATATATTTCCCCACTAGCAAGTGGAGGTGATAAAGCCACAAAACTCTAGCTAAATACCTAATCCAAAACCCCTGACTCCTATTGCCTACACTGCTTCTTTCAGCCTTCTGTACTTCCCTGGAGGCTCCCCATGTGCAGAGGTTGGCACAGACGACGTGAAGTCTACAGTGGGAGGTAGTCCACCAACTCTCAAAATCCTCCGGTAACAGATATATAGCATACGGAGTGACTTACCACTGCTTGGTAGCTCTGCAGTAATGACAACCTCCATTGAATGTCTGTCTTTCTAAAAAGTAGCTGGGATCATTCAACAATAAAATATTTAGATCCAGTAAATAGTGAGCCAGGAACAGAGTTAATCAAACCTGTTAACTTGGTTTAACCACAATTTGGCCACCCAAACTTACCCTGCAAATATTTAAACCAAGTAAAAAATTGCTTTAACCCTATACTTTGAAATTGTTTTGTAATTAAGGTTATAAAGCACCCTGCCTAGGTTTCTCATATATCTGGGGGCATTATAGTGATGCTTTTCTTCTTCTGAGCCAGTGACAGACAACTTGTGGTCATTTAAAGATCTTCACCTCCCTGACAATTTTAGCAAGAAAAATTCATCAGCACCAGGTGTCTTGGGTATATTACACATTGAGGAATGACATTCCTCAATCACTAAAATGTCCCCTGCAATAGGATATAGATATGGTACTCTTTGCTCGAGTTCTACATCACTGTGCAGAGTTGTTGCACAATGTGTGTGCATTCTCTCCCAGAAGTAGATGCATTTCAGCAAGAGGTGATGATTGAAGAAATTCCTCCAGTGTTTAAAGATTGATTAAGAGGGCAAGGGTGCCTCCTTCTGTGAACAAGAGCATCTATCATCCCTTGCCCACTGCTTCATTTCCTTGAGTCACTTCATGACGTACAGACCCAATATGGTCAGATTGTGAACAGCAGCTCTCCATCCTGGCATTGTTAAATTCCCTTTTCATCCCAGCCCCAGTCTGTATCCCCTCGTTCACTCCGCTCTCCCTCACCTCATCTAGCCCAAAGCTTAATCCCTGTGCCTCTGCTCCTCTATACGAACACTACAATCCTGTCACCATCTCAGATGTGTGTATTTGCCAGCAGGGGCTTTACCCTGCACTATGCTGTTCATTTTCAAGGTGCACAGACTGCAGAATAGACCATAACAGCACATAGCAGCAGCCATATACCAGCTATGCAAAATCACCTGAGAATCCAGCTCCCACTTGGGCCTGTCAATGGGCACCCAAATTGACTATTTGCACACACACAAATTTTTGAGAGTCTTGACCTCAACCTCTCTGTGCCTCAGTTTCTCTTCTGTAAAATGAGGACTGAACGCTTACCCTCCCCTCAGGGGTGCAGAGAAGATAAATTCATTAATGGCTGGGGAATGCTCAGATACTAGTGATGTACAGCACAGCAAAGCCTTCAAATAAATGACATTCCTGCATACAAGACACATGACTTGTAACACTATCAGATGAAAAAGTACTACACGGTATAAATGGAAGATACTGCTGATATTTCTTATTGCAATGTAGTGTGTGTGTTTCTCCTTAAATTTTTCTCACTTTACAATTCTCCATCGACTTCAAACTTTCAGAACCTGAAACTGGGCAAGCTATTTGTGTTTTAAAAGTGCTTGCTCATAAAATGGATTATCCCCTATGTTCTCCCAGAACCAGCTAAAAGATTTTAGTTACTGCTCCTGTTGATTTTATTTTTCCCTGGGATATCTAACAGGTAGACTTCAAAATAGCTGAGAAAGCTTAATGCAATAGTCAATAGTGGAATTCAATTACTGTACATCTCTCTCGATTTCTTAATGTGTGTACAGTTTGTTGCTGAGGCAATTAAAACCCTCATTTAGCAAATGCAATGATTACTTTAAGAAAAAATAATGCACATAGTGAAGAAAATCAGTCCATGATGGTAAAGCGGGAAAAATTCCTTAGATTCATACTACAAACAGACCAAATTCATCCTTGGTTTAACTGCACTAGGCCCATTAATTACATATAAACAAGCTTATAAAAGCCAAGCAATTCCAAACTGTTTACGGCTTCAGCCTTCTCTTCGACCACAGTAGGAATGCATAAAGATGCAGCTGGTGATTAAGTGGCAATCATTGCTTTGTAAAGGATCTGAGTTCAACTCTTGAATTGTAGATGATGTCACAGTTCAGGACAATTCCATGGTTCACCAAGGGCAAGGGCATCACTCTTAGGATTCTGGCTCCCCAGCCATCACTTTTCTTAGGAGGAGACATGTCTCTCTCTCCCTCCTGATTGGTGCATATCCAGGCTGCATAGTTCTCTGACTACACTATGAATTCCCCAGCAAGTCGGACTGCTTTCCCTTCTCCTCAGAAGCTATAATAGCATAATTGCCCACAGTTAAGTTACAGGTCTTTGTAAACAAGCAATTTATTCTTAAGTTAAAAGCATTACAGAGAAAACATATTAAAATAATAAAAACCCATACAAACTATAATAAGCTTATCAGTGGTCATCCCTATGGCATTATGCCCCATATTCTTCATAATAATATTAGGATATAATTATGGCATAACTATGATGTGTTTTATGCAAGATAGGTCATGTAAGAGATCACTGAAAAGGTTATGATTCACTGAATAGGATTATCCTATTTGTATGCATGTAGCATTTTGGTATCAGAAGTTAGGAATATTGGCCAATGGGGGTTGCAGGAAGGGTGGCCAGCACATCCCTTGGCCCACGCCGCTTCCAGCAACCCCCATTGGCCAGTGGGAGTCGCGATCGGC